TCCTCAGCCACGAGCCCCAGGCCACCTCTGATTGATGTTTCTCCCTGGTCTCCATCCCTCCACCCCGCCATCTCTTCAAGAAGCAAATCTGGGCACATTATCCCCCATCTGAGCCCTTACCATTCCCCAGTAATCCCATTGCCCTCAGAATAAAGTTTAGAAGGACCTGGCCATTACCTAGGCGTCTTACCTTCTCTTTGTCTCACATGGAACTTCTTTGGGTACCTCAGATGCTTGAAAGTTCTCTCACCCCTTCAGGCCTTTGCACAGGTTGTTCCCTGCATATGAACCCTTCTCTGATGTCCTTGATCTGCTCAGATCCTAATCAGCCTTCATTTCTCAGCTGAGAAACCATCACCTGCAGAAACATTCATTCCCTCTGCCAGAGCACTCTGCTCACACACATCATGAGAAAACTGTAATTCTTTATTTGCTGTAAACTGTGATACAGAATAAGCACCCAGAAAATATTTGCAAAATCACTTTTCCATACACTTATTATTCCTAGTTGACACTTTTCTGGTTTTTTATTGAGTCTTTTTTTTTTTTTTTAAATTTTTTTTTTAAAGATTTATTTATTGATTGATTGATTGATACATACAAGCACTGGGTACAGTCAGAAGCGCGGGAGGGAGAGAGAATTCACCAGAGCCAGAGCGGGGAGCAGAGCAGGCAGAAGGACTGAAGTACACTGCTGAGGGGAGCAGCGGGCGGCAGGAGAGGTCTGCGCGCCATGTGGGACCCTCCTCCCGAGGCCGGGGAGCAGCCGGGGATTGAACCGGCGCTGCAGAGACTGCCGGCAGCTTCCCAACCCAGCGCTCAACCGCTGCGCCACCGGGGAGGCCCCTTTATTGAGTCTTAACACGCATAGAAAAGTGTGTGTCATGTCCCGGCAGCTGTGAAAGGCCACCTTTGTCATTAATCACATTAATTTCTGGGTCTGTTCTAGAATGTTCTTTTGTTTTCCAGTCTTCTATTTGTCTATCCTGTGCGCGGCCATGCTGTCTTAATTACTGTTCATTGTTCATAAGTCTTAATATCTAGTAGTATCAACTTTCCATCTTTGTTCTTCTTCAAGACTGTCTAGTAAACATCCTGGGACATTTCATTTTCACAAACATTGCAAATCAGCTTATCAACTTCCACACCCACAAAAGAAACCTGGGGTAAAGAGGCTTCTTGCGAAATGCATGTTTAACTTCACAAGGAAACTGTCAAACTGTTTTCCAAGTAACTTTGCTATCTCCAGTTTCAGTTGCTCTACATTTTGTCAACACTTGGAATTGTCATTCTTTTATTTTAGACATTCCAACAAGTGTTCAGTAGTATTTCATTGTGATTTTATTGGCATTTCCCTAATGAGTAATAAGATGAACCTCTATTCATGGGCTGATTTGACATCTGTAGATCTTCTTTGCGAAAGTATTTGTTTAGGTCTTTTGACTTTAGGGTTCTTTAGAATGTTCCTTACATAAGCGCTTTATCAAATAAGTAATTTACCAGTGTTTTCTCCAAGTCTGTGACTTGTCTTTTCATGCTCTTAATAGTATCTTTCAAAGAGCAGAAGTTCTGAATTTCAATTTATCAATTTGTTCTGTCTCATGGAAATTTTTCTGCAGGTAATAAACCAAGCCAATCCTAGCACGCACGTTGCTTCCCTTTTCGCAAAGATCACTGTTATAGACAATCATGCATTTTATGTTTCCTAATTTTTAGTAATTTAAAGCAGAAGTGTAAGCCTTCCCCCTTTTACTTCTTCTTGGCTGGAGTAAAAATCTGCACAAGTTTTGATTGATAACCTTTTTATTGTCATTCAATGAAAAATATTTTCAATCCCCATTGGTTTCCTCTTTGCTGCATCAGTTATTTAAAATGTGTTGCTTGCTTTCCAAACATATGGGAATTTTCTAGTTATCTTTGGATTAATGTCTATCTAAATTCTTCTGTAAGCAGAGAACATATTCAGCGTGATTTCAGTCTTTTGAAATTTCTTGAGATCTGCCTTATGCCCCGCTGTATGGTCTATTTTGTTAAATGTTCCATGAGTTCTTGAAAATAATGTGTATTTTGCAGCTCTTGGGTGACAATATGTCAATTATTATATTATTCAAATATTCTAAATCTTTGCCTATTTGAAATCTTTTTTCTATATATCACTGATAAAAAGTATTTTAAAATGCCTTAATATGATCACGGATTTTTCTGTTTCTCCATTTAGTTTTGTTGACTTAAAGGCTCTGTTACTATTACAAATCTTCCCTATGGAAAGTACTTTTAAAAATAATTATAGAATGTCTCTCTTTATCTCTAGTAATATTTTTACATAAGGTGTACTTAGTCTGACATAGGCAAAACTATACCAGCTTTGTTTTCATTTATAGCTCAGTTCTAGAAATTTTGATTCTTTTTTTGTAGCTTTTTGTTCTTTGCCAAATTTTCTCATCATTTTAGTGACTTATTATTTTAAGTCCTTGTCAGATAACACTAATATCTGAATTTCTGTAGTTCCATCTCTGCTGGCTGAAGAGTCCCTTGGTTTTTGTTCCAATCTTCTTCTATGTATTCCTGATTCTTTTTATTGTATCCTAGCTTTGTAGTTGATTTTTGTCCTAGTCTGGATTCCCCCAGGAAGTAGAGCCTGAGACCTTGAATTGTGTGCAGATAGCTCATTTGGGGTAATAAAACAAGTGCACAGCTGTGAGATTCTGATTAGACTATAAAAGAAAAGAGAAAAAGCCAGTCCCAGTACATCCTTGAATCGGTCATTACTATGGGTAATTTGATTGACCCAGTCAAGCCCGTCCTGCAAAATGTATAAATGATCTCAATATTTTCCTTCTAAAGGACGGAAGAAGGAATCATTTGCGCCCCCACTGGTTACGAGCTGCTGCTTACCTCCCTTTGACTTCCAGGTTGCACAAGTATGGATGAAAGGCCGGGTCCCACTGGCCCAGCACAGGGAACCCCTAGCACAGAGTTGGGGGCAAAGACCAAGGCAGGTGCTGTTGAGTGACACGGGCACAGAGTTCACAGTGGCAGCAGTGGTGGGAAGAAAACCAGGGCAATAGGATGAAAGAAGAGGGAAGAGGGCCAGAGAATTGCTCCAATCTCTAAATATTTGCTTTTGCTTCTGGCAGACAGGTTAGGAAAAGATCCACCTAATCCAATCAGAGACTGAGATGATTCACAGCTGAGCTTTATCTTCATGAGCAATGATGCTTCTAGTTCACCTTTCTTCCCAGGGAGCAACGCCCAGGGTTCCAGCTCCACTGCAGGGTGCTTACCACGTCGGTCTTCCCTGCCAGGCCCTAAATGCCAAGGTGTATCATCCTAGCTCTACAATGCAGCCCAGAGTCCTGCTTGGCCCATCGGTCTCCACCTCTGCTCGAAATCCAGGGACTGCCTCGAAGGAAAAAGAATTGGAAATATCAGAGCTCCACCCCAGAAGCTTCTCTTCTTTCTGGAATCTTGGTTCCTTAAATCCGGGCTGCCTTAGCAGCTTCTGAACCCTTCACCAATGCATTTCTTTTGCCGAGGTTTTCTGTCCTCAACAGGAAGATTGGTCTAAAGCCAGCTAGACCACGTTGCTGGGGCAGAACATCTCAATGGCCTGTGAAAGTTTCATGGGGGTGAGCATGGACCCTTAAAAATATAATCATCTCAAGAGTGAGGTTTGAGCTCTGTCACCTCCCCCGCCCTCTGCATCCCCCACGACGGTAGGTACCACCACGTGGTGTCTGAACTCAGCACACTTAAATGTGTTTATTGAATGAACTACCTGTGAACAGAGCTGCTTTCTGTACTGGGGAGGGTGCCTGTGAGGGTAGGGAAGAGCATTCCCTCTCTCATCTAAAAGTCTGCCCCTTTGGGACTGATGGGAAGCCAATGTGGAGGTTCAGAGACTTTGTTAGTCTTACAAGCCCCTGGAAAGACTAGAAAATAAACTAGCTTCTGGGTCGCATGCTGGAGACTCTAATTCAACCCACATGTCAGTGTCCATTGAGAAAACCTACCCGAAGAGACGATAGCTCCAGCACTGCTACTTTTCCAGGACCTGGAATCCCTTCCCCCCAGGAAGACTCGGCCTAGAATCCTCACAGAGCATCTCCTGCCTCTGAAGAGTGAGAACTAAAGATACTGTACCTGCTGGGATAGTGTGCCCCCAAAATATGGGACCCCAGATGATTCTGCCTCCTTACCACCACTTTCAATACTACTAAATCAGAGTAAGTGACTCTGTTTATCCTCTTTCCATCCACCTGATTAAGTCAAGGAGAAGCTCAGGCACCCTAGGGTGTTCTTAGTGCTCCTCTGTCACCTGTCATTTTCAACAAAACAGGAGCAGATCTCAGGTTAAGAACCTTCTTATGCAACAGTACCCAGAGAGTGTATGATAGCACAGTCCTTGTGTATTTGTATTTACTGCCAGTGCTTATTTAAAGAACATGATCTCACAGTAATGAGGTCAGCTTCCTTTTAAGTAAACTTAAGTGAGTTCATATCAACAAAACGATTAAGTTATTAGCCTGAATTATACAGAAATACAACAAAAACACGAAATTTGTGTTGGAAGAAGTGAAATTTGAGAAACCGCGTGCTTACAGCATCCTCATTGGGGTAATGGTAAGAATCAAAGTGATAACCAGGGTAATAAGGAAGACCCCAGAGCAAAGGGTGGCCCCCTAGTCCTTATCCCCTCGCAGGAAGGGGGTTATAAGTGAGTGGGGGCCAGATGAAGTCTGCTATCCCATGGGGACCCATTCACCTTTCAGCCATAAACACTCCTGGGGGGGGAATGGAGCACCCCCACTCACCCCACAGACTGAACAGGGACAAGTGTGCAGATCAGAGAGGGGAGAAGGGGGAGTGAGAACTTTCACACTGGAGATTGGGAAGAATTTTGTAGAATTCAGGTGCGTGTTTTCACAGGCATCCAACAATAATTTTCTATGGGCCCTTGAACCTTCATAAAAGGTTACCCCAAGACTCACCACCAATGGGGCGGTCCTCCCTTCTTCAAAAATGCCCCGAGCTCCTGAAATGAAGGCCACAGATGGGATCCGTCCAATGAGCTGCAAAACCTCAGGTCTGCGTGCACACGTGGGGAGGTGGCAGGGGCCGGGGCCGGCCCGTCACACTGGCCTGAGATGAATGACTTTCATTTCCCCCAAACCACAGTGACAGAACCAGCCACAGCCCCCGACCCGAGTTTAATTTCACATCATGCAGCCTTCACAAGTGAGCGATTGGGAGCAATATTTATCGGGGAAATCTTTTTGTACGCGTAGCCACCAAGCCAGTGGAACATTTTTCTTCTTTAATTTCCGTCTTGCGCTCCCTGCAGAAACAAATAAGAATGAGTTAAGGAGGTTCTCCGAGAAGGCAGGAAGAACCCACATTTCAGAATCCGGAAACGTCCCCCTCCATCAGGGATGGAGGCCCACACGAGAGGAGGGAAATGAACGGCAGCCCGAGGGTCAGACGTGTTTCCTTTGGAACACGCGATATGCTTGGGTATTTTTAAGAAATGTTTAAAACATGTAAAAATTCAGAGATTTAACATAAAAATCCAATGGTCTGGCAGCTCCCGAAAAACCAGATCTCACCCCCCTGGGATGGCAGCGTGGCCACAAGCAGATGGCAGGAAATGCCTGTGGCTGCTGCGTGGCCCCTAACCCTCCTCAGTGTGTGCCCCGTCCCAGGAGCCCTCCCAGTCCTGGCCAAGCCACCAGGGAGGGGGGGATGATGTGGGGGAGGGCAGGGGAAGGGTTACCATCTTAGATTCCTACCAGGCCCCAATACATGCGGGTAATACAGATGCCCTCCGGGTGGGTCTGCCTCCTAGACCAACCAGTAATGAACCCCAAGTTCACACCGTGCGGTTAGCGTGGTTGCATCTGCATAAAAATGTATAATTACTGTCTTGTCAGTCCTAAAGCAATATGGGATGGCAACTGTTCACACAACAGTTACACAGTAGCGGGTATTAGAAGTGTCTAGAGCTGACTTAGCGTGCCGCAGGGTATAAGCAGGTTACGTGCAAACGCTACACATAAGGAGCTTGAGCATCCGTGCGTTTTGCTAGCTGTGGGGGTGCTGGCACCAGTGTCCTCCAGGTCCCGAGGTGGTGGGGGGAGGCTGTCCTCACATGGTAAGAGCTACATGCTGTCCCTAGTTCTAGGTGTCTCAACCAGATTAACTGCACAGCAACCTTGTGGGGCCGGTACTGTACCCATTCCCATTTTATTCCCATATTAGATGTGAGAAACTGAGGCACAGATCGTTGATGTCATACACAGTCCATAAGATCCAATCTCACCAAACCATGTTAAAGAGAGCAAGAGAGAGAGACTGGTTGATAAGCCAAAGACTCCCCACGTGGACGGCCGTCAACTCAAAGTGCTTCCCTCCTCACAGGGCCTCCTACTCTGACCTTGACAGCCACTGGCTTTGTGACCTTAACAAGTTCCTTCACCTTTCTGGGCCTTCAGGTCCCCACATTTGAAAAGGAGATGTTAGTATTTCCCGCCTTGTCCAGGCATCGGGTTGACTGAGTTAAACAGTGATTGTAATGTTCTCAGCAAGGTATGTGGGGCCCAGGGGTGGAAAGCGAGGCCTGGGGCGCCAGTGTTCCTAGGCTTTGAGAGGTGAAAGCTGATTTTTATCAAGTCACCCAAAGAATATAAGCTAAATTTCAACTTAAACTCTGATCTGTCCAAATCCAAAAACTTCTAGGGAATAGAATATTGTTCTGAAGTAGATAATAAAGACCAAAAAAGAATTTTTAGTCATATTTGGGATGCCAATGATACAGCAAAGTGTTCGGCCTGTTGCAGACCAAATGATTTTTGCTAAGACCTTTGCTTAGAGACAATTGGTGATAGAATAGCTGATCTCAGCATATCCAGAAAGTTATCCCCAGTGGCAAATGGAATGAAATCTTCTCTCGGCTACTGCCAGACGGCCTCTGAAGCCACAAAAGCACAGGACTTGATTTCAATGACAAGAACAGGGCTGCGGATCAGATCCGAGGAGAATAAAATCCACTTCCTAACGATTCTCCAATTACTTCAATTAGCTGTGGGCTCAGCCACGCAGCTAGTTGCATAAGCATAGATCTCTTTGTGGCTTTAATTAAATTTCCTCTGGTATAAATGCTGCTTTGAGGTTTTCGGAAGGAAAACACAATACCCAGGAAATGCAATTTGATCTAAACTGTATGTGTAGCATAATGAGGGCTTAGGTGGGCTCTCACCGTTCCCCGGAGCGTGTTTAAGGGCTCTTTAGTTGGCTGGTAATCCCTCATAATAATTATTAGCAACATCCTCCTAATACCCACATTCCTACTCACCTGTCTGATTCCCATCCATCTTGTGAGGGTCAACTAGCTACAGTGCTTGGATCAACTCTGGCCCGGAGGTTTGTTTTTATAAATAGCTTTCTTGAGAACAAGGCCACCTTTACAGGGTCCCGGCTCTCCCCACTATTCCCAGGTATACACGGTGGAGCAGCCAAAGGCTCAGGTATTAGTTACTTGTGTTTAAATCCCTGCTTCTCCACTTAGCTGCTGAGTGACCTTAGGTGCATTCTAAACCTCTCTGTGACTGAGAGGTGGACAGCCCAGCTTTCCAGGGGCTTGGGGCCATGTAGGAGCATCTGGTAACACCGATGCCAAGTTGGGCAGGTCCTTGTTTGAAAGACAATGAAGAAAAGAAAGACTCCACAGCGGGTAACTTCTCCTTCCAGCAGCCAGCTCAAGGCCAAAAGCAGAAGTCGGGGGTCTCATTTTTGCTCTGGAATTTGATTGAGTTCAGTTTTCCTGGCCTCAATTTTCTAGCAACAGGGGGCTGTCTTTATTATGTTTTGATTCAAAGAAATTCTTATTTTCTTCAGGAAATTCCACCAAGATGATCAATAAGGAGTCATACAAATTCAAGAGCAGGAAACCCATCTTGCATGAATGATAGCAAACCACATTTGAACTTGAGCAAATTTAATTCTCTGCTCCAGCTCGATATTTCCAGCAAAGATTTTGAGAAATAAAATTAGATTTTCAGGGATGGTGATACATTGAAACACATGTTACAGGCAGGCAGATTCAGCTGAACCCAAGGCGCTGAGTCCTGGCCAGGTGGGAGAGAGAAGTCCAGAACTCACCCCTATATGAACACAAGAAAGGAAATAGGTCCTTTTGACACCCAGCAGGTGGAGATTTTTTTTTAAATTTTATATATTTTTTGTATCATTTTTCCTTTTTGCACAATGTATGCATTGCACTTCATTCCTGGGGGCTCATGGAGCTGGGAGCAATGACCACCCAGCTCTTGGGAATTTAAACTTATTGGGCTAAGAGACTTTCACATCACCTAGCCACCTGGGGCTCCTAGAGCATTTGCTGATGTGAAGCCTGAGTGGGGAGCACAACATTGCACCCCTGAATCTCAGGGAGCTGGTGAGGGTCTGGCTGGAAGCAGCCCCAGCGGCCTGACTTGTGGCTAATTTCCATCCCCTCTGCCTCATTCCCTGCAAACAGGGGCCCACGAGGGGCTCCAGCAGTCTGGTCACCCCAGAGCAGTCTCCAGGGGTCTGGTCACTCCCCAGTGTTATCTCTCACCTGTCCCACCACCTGGGTTCACCCAGCACATGCTAGAATATCACCAGAGAGGGGGCTCCTTCTGTTACCCATGGAGAACTGGAAAATTCTTAATTTGGAGTTGTCATTGGTCTCCCTGGGACTTGCCTATGGATTCCACACTGAAGTTTTAGAAAACAGTTCTAGTATTTTAGATACATAACTAATTGCATGTGTGGGTGTGTTTTGGTAGAAGATAAATAGATAATGTAGTCGTGTATACTGATAGTCTATTTACAGATAATTGAGATTTATTGAGCGCTTACTATGTGACAGTCAGTGAGATTTGCATCCCTGCCTGGAGCTCACAGATAACACGAGTCTAAGTAGGAGTCAAACCCAGGCTGAAGGTGACTCTGGGACCCTGGCCGCCCCCCACCCCATGCCCCACAAAAACCTTACAACCTCTTAAGACATTTCATTTGAGTCACTCAAGTATTCACTTCTGTCTAAAATTAGAAAGCACATCCCTGTTCCCATCACATGCAGATATCATTATTATTTTTAATAAATATACTATACATACACTTATATATAACATGTATAAAGGTACACATATGTACATATGTTCACATATGTACAGTCATATAAATATAAAATCTGTGTGTAGGCAGGTGGTTGTTTTTATAAAAATGCGATCATACTATGTGTGTTATTTTGTAACCTTCTTTTCTAACCAGCAGTGTATCTGGAACATCTTCCATAGCAACACGTTAATCTGGGCATCAATTTTGCCTGGAATTCTGGCACATGCGTCTACCAAAATGTCTGTAACGACTCACCTCATGTTGGACCTTAGATTTTCTCCAAATATAAACCCTCCAACACACGGCCTTGCTGTGTATCTTTGCACACATTTCTCACTCTTTCTCAGGGTAGTGCCTACAAAGTGACGTCTCCCCTGGGGTCCACGGAGCAGAGGGCGGTGCCTGACCCCAGACCACATGACATATGATTCTCTTTAAATTTGGGCCATCTTTCAGGCTAGGGGAAAAAATAATAAAACAGCATCTTGTTTTAATATGCTTGTCTTTTACTACCAGGGAGACTAGCTTTTTCGAACACCAGACAGCTTCCATCTGCCTAAGGCATCCTTGTCTTGCTATGGGGACCCTCCATGCACAAAATGCCCCCAGTGGGGTTCCAGCCAGTGTAGATTTTGGAGTCACCTGCCCTGGGGTGTCTAATGGAGGGGTTGATGGGTCCCACCAAGGCACTGCCTGGCTGCTCAGGCGCCAGAGGTGGAGCAAGATTGTCCAGTTGAAAGCTGGGAGGACCCAGCCACCCCTAGAAGGGATCATGGGCACCTCTCTAGGTGACATCAAGTTGGCCTGGCTAAACTGGTGGCTGTCAAGCTGGTAGGAAGTACAGCACTGGCTCGTGGGCCAGGAGCCCTGTCCCTCTTCCCACTGGCCCAGAACAGCCGAGAAGCTCACCCGTGCCACCAGGGAGCCTGCCTGATATTAGCCTTCACCGGGAGCCTGCGTATAAACACTTGCATGGCTTTTGTGTCCCTAAGAGTTATTTTAAAGCTAAGAGTTAGGGTAAGATTCAGCTTAGTTATCTATGCACTCACAATGCCCCTGGTGGCATCTTACACACTCTGGTTCTCATTATGTGCTCAGTGTTGTGGGGTGACAGGCCAACCCCTCCAGGGATCTGTGAGTGCTGCAAGTGGGGGACTCACCTCTGTCCAAGTCCCTCCACCCCCAACCTCCCCTGCTCCTCCTCCACCTGACAGGATGGGCCGGGCTGCTGACCTGGGCTCAAACCCCCCCATCCCCCCACCCCCCAGCTGCCAGGTGCTGGCTGAGCAGCTTACCTTCTCAGCGCCTCAGTTTGCGCAGCAGTAAAATGGGGTAACAATATACCAGCCTTGTGAAGCTGTTGTGAAGATTAAACGAGAGTGTGCTGGTGAACATAATTTTGGAAACGACCATATGCCGAGCCAATCCCATTTTCATTTTACAACTACTGATTGAATAGCTGGTTGGAAACATGAGGGTGTATCAGCACAGGCTAGACAGCCTCTTCCAGAAAACAGGAATAGGAAGGCAGAAATGGAGGGACGGAGGACAGAGGAGACCCAAGCGAGTCTAAGACTCAGCAAGGCAAACTATGGGGTCTTCGGGCTGGAGACTAATCCTGACTCCGTGGGGCTGTGCTGGGACTGGGAATCTACAGTTTAGTGCAAGTTCTCAAGTCCTTGTACCTCAGTTCAGTGTGCTCTGAACAGCAGCGTGGTCACCGCCTGTGCTCGCTGCAGACACAGCGTGTCAGGCCCCCCGTCCCAGAGATTAAATAAGAATCTCTGCTTCACGCTCATGTTAAACTTGGAGCAGCCCTGTACTTAGTGATTATAGTGACAAAATGTAAATGTCACTTGAAGCATGATAAGTAGTAACTAAGAGCTAGGCGGTGTTTTAACTGTTTAATGCATAGCAATTCATTGCTGAATCAAAATAATCCTAGGAGGTAGGAACTACCACTACCATTAGCCCCATTTTACAGATAAGAAGTGAGGCCCAGCAAGGTGAAGTTTCAAAGCGCATGTGTTGAAGACAAAGGGCATCTACCTCCCCCGGGCGCAGCTGGAAATAGATAAGGCAGCATCCTAGCCACCCTCCTGGGCCCCTACACCCCAACCAAGGCACTCAGCACCCCTACAAATCAGCAAGTGCCGCACGGCTTCAGAACAACTTGTGACTAAATAGCACATTTAATTACATCGATTCTCCAGGAAAAAAGTGGTTGTGCAGATTTGGGTATAATTATTACGTTTTTAAACTTGGTCAAATTAGAAAAATAATCAGCGCATGTAAGAAGACAGTCTAGAAGCACATGTGAGCCCCACAATTAAATCAATTCTCCATCTCAAATCTGCTCTGAGAATTACATTCTAGAAAGTTCTGTGGCACGAATGGCAAGCGAAGCAGCTGAAGAGCCAACCATACTGGCCTCCTGCCATAAGGACTTGTTTGGACACTTTTATGTGGTGTGCTCTCTGGACTGGACTATTTTGTAAAACCAAGCTGTGTTCTGTGAACTCATAATGTCAAAACATATAAAAACACATAAAGCAGGGCTGGAGTGCTTCATGTGCCTCCCTGCTGCCTGCCAGGGCTCTTCTCTGCTCCTTGGCTTGTATTAGGGGGTTCTCTTCGTCCACCATCGCTGCAGCTGAGTATTAATTGGGAAGTCATGTTCCCAAGTGAGACAGCTTTAGGATTTAATCCCACTTCCCCAAAGACAAGAAGCCTCGGGTGATCCAAAGCTTTCAGTGCCTGACTGTAGATTAGTGCAAGCATCATGTGAAGAGCTGGTTCTCCCCACAGCTTCCAGTCCGGAGAACAAGGGAGGCCATTAGCAGCTTGCTCATAAGCCAGAAGCTTTGTCATCACAGATTGCTGGGCTAACACAACTGGAAGGCAGATTCAGGAATGGGAATTTAGGATTTTCTATGTGCTTGCAGAGGAGATGAATTGTTGAGGGCCTGAGGACTACAGGACCTTGGAAGGCTTTCTCCCCTCGGTTCCATGAACCAGGAAAGACCAGGACGATAAATGAGATGTCACACACAACTGGGAACAGAACAGGCTGAGTCTGATCCCCTCGGATCAAGAAGGATTATGTGCTTGTACATTTCAGCAGTGAGCAGGCTCCACTTCAGAAGGTCGAGAGTGACAAATGGAGCCTCTGGCGGCCCTGGGCCCACTGGTCGAGGCTGAAATCCATCTGTCTCTAGTGTTGACACAGACATTCTGGCAGGAGCCAGGCCTGCCAGGGAGCTGCCCTTTGAGACAGCCCTCCAGAAGTCTGTTCGGGCTCCGGCACAATTTTTAATGAAAGATAAAAAGTCCATGGAGCACTATTGTAGCCAGACCTCAAGCGGGCCCTCTGCCCCTTGCACACAGACAGCCAAACTCTTTGACGACACAAGGGAAAAAGCTTAATTATGTGAACCATTAAGTGTGGAGGCAGGAGCTGGCTGATCTAGCCCCTGCCCCTTACAGGTCTCACCCCATTAAAGGGCATCTGGATTGGTCGGGGAGCAGGGAGTTTCCAGGGACTGAGGTGCAGATGTCGTGGCTATTCATGCCTCTTCATGGGTGGAATGTTCATTTATGGGGTGAAGGGGGGGATTTGGAGGGTTTGGTGTCATAAAGGCAGGCCTGTTGGTTCACCTGAGGGTCTCTCTTGCCCCCTAGAACAATACTGCTGGATAACCTGTTGGAACCTGCTTCCACCAACCTGCTTTTGTTGGCCTTGCGAAAACAGTCTGGAGAGTAGGAGAGATACCTGGGAAGAGGAGGCAGAGACAGGCTTGACCGCTCCCTCGGGATAGGTTTGGACTTGCCAGAACAGAGTCTAACCTCGGTTTCACTCTTTATAAAGCAAGAAAAACTTACACCATGAACAGAATTGCCTAAATGCATTTGCAGATATCCATACAGTGAGAATTAAATTTTCAAAGAATATCTAACAACTTGGGGAAATACTTGATATGATGTTAAATGGGAGAAAAATCAGGACTTGCAGCCCAAAATTGAGTTTTCTGTGCATAAACAGACATGTTTTTAAGGGGAAAAAGCTGGAAGAATGATCACTAAAATGTTGACTGTACTTGAACCTTTGAATGTCAGCAGTGCCACCATCTTTGAAAGATGGAAATAGGGGGGAGTTTTGTTTTCTTTCTTTAATCTCTCTGCATTTTCTAATTTTCCATAGTGAGCATGTATTAATTACTCTTTGAATTAGAAAAAAAATGAAGGGTATACATTAAAAATAAGTTACTGATTTCATTGCCTAATAATAGTTTCTGTTAATTGAGAGTTTAGTAAATGTTCCACATACATTCTTTTATTTTAATTAAGAAAATCAGAAAAGGTGGTACTATTATTACCTACATTGCTAATGGGTAAATAGAAACTTCTAGAAGTTCAATACTTGCCTGTAACTCAGTTCCTACGAAGGGACAGAGCTGGGTTCCAGTGAGGCTGGTCTCGTGCCAATATCCACACTGTTACCTCTGAATTAAGCCAGAAAGTGAGGCTCCCAGGAAGGCTGCCAGATAAATGACAGGATGCCCAAGTATATTTGAATTTCAGATACACTGCAATTAATTTTCTCAGTGTCAGTATGTGCCATGCAGTATTAGTGCTTGGGTATCTGAAAATCTAACTGAACTGGCTATCTTTGTTTGTGTGCTTACTTATTTTTCTGAGGGAAATGGCCTCCATTTGCAAACTCCTGGGGAACAGACCTGGAAGCACCAAAGCAACCCAGGGGGTCAAGGAAATGTCAGGTTTGGACCCACGCTGTCTTCCAAAAAGACCCAGGAAGGAGGTTAAGTCCTAGATAGGCCCGAGAAAAATGACCAAAAGTCTCAGGTGCCTTTTTCTTGAATCCTGTGTAGGGCAGAGGCTTCGCTGGTTGAGACAGGTTGGCTGCCTGGAGCAGACAGCCCCCTAAATGCAAAGGCATCTGGGATTCCTAAGTCCCCAAAGCAACAGTACTGAAGCCTGGGAAGCTCCCCTTGGGGTCAAATCCACACTGGGTTTCTGGGTCCCCTGAATCTGGAATTGAACTTTTCTGACTTTGCTGCTTGTAGCCAGACTGAGGAGTGGCTCACAGCCCCCAGCCCACACCCCCACCTAAACCCACCCCCATGGCCTTGGGACTCCTGGCGAAGACCACAGGGTCCTCAGACCCGAATTCGGTTCTCAGCTAGATTGCCCAGTAAGATCATCTGGGGGGTCTAAAATCCTGACATTCGGTCCACTCCCAGAAATGTGAGTTAATTTGATCACTACTGTGATGCTGATGCCACCACGCTGGATCACCCCCCATAACGCCCTAGTGGGGATAGTGCACCCCCAGGGGTGGATATCAAACTCACCTGTCAGAACGAGAGGCCAAGGTGGGCTCACGTATTGTGGAAGGGATTAAAGGAAATTGACACAGAGGGCGCCCCGCCCAGAAAATACTCAGCAAGTGTCATCTCTTCCCTGGCTCACATTTATTGCAGGTCTCCTTTTACCTACACCTGTTATCACATTTCGTTCTCAGAAGAGCTCTATAGGTGGGTGTCATCATTGTCCCCATCTTTCTCAAGCTCCCCAGCTAGTAGTGGCGGAGCCGCAACTTGAACCCAAGACGCCAGCCCCCCAGCTGTCAATCTCTTCCTTGTATTGTCTTCCTGCTGAAGGGTCCCCCTGGGCAGATGGCGCCTCCCCACCTCCCACCCCCTGACCTTTGCCTGCCATCCCCCAAGCTTGAATGCCACCCTCTTCTCTGCCTACGAACCAGCACCCACTCAGGAAACAACCCTGTGCCTTCCGCCTCTTTCAGACCTCACAGCGAGTGCTCACTCGGCCATTTAGTGATTCTTTTCTGTAATTAAGCAAACATCTAGGGTGCTGCTGCTGTCTACCAAGCACTGCAAGACGCTGGCTGTAAACACTGGGGAGCCATGATGGAGCCTGAGATCCTGTGGTGGAGGCCAAAAATAAACAAACAGAAGGACAGCAA